TTTTGAGAATTGAAAGCTGTTGACAAGTGAGTCAGTATGAGATTTAGTTTAGCCATGATATAATTGCCCAATGTATCGAAATCGGTTTTCTTAAAAGATTAAATAAACACACCATGCTGGCCTGACTGCGGGTTAAAAAAAAAAAAAAAAAAAACTATACAGTATAAATAATCACTTTAAAAATATTTAAAACAAATGTTAATAATATCCAAAGTTTTATAAAAAATCTTTTTTTCTATTGAATGTTTGACTTAAAATATTTTAAATAAATCAAAGAAATAGAAATATATCTTGACAAGCGTTATAATTCGTTAAATTGATTATTTTAGAATGCCTATATTTGCACAAAATTATTTCGATTTATAAGGGATTTACTGTATATGAAACTTTCAGAGATTAAAGATTATAGCAAAGAAAATAATTCATAATGATTAGTTCTATTTATTAGGTTGAGTACCGACTATATCACCTTGAAACGTTATTGTAAACTATACAATTCTATTAAAGAAAAACTTTCTTGGCAATTCATTAAGGAATAACAACGAGATGGAAGCTATCCAGGTGTATTGATGAAAAATATAATATGCATCACTGACATACAATCAACTAGTAAACTTTCTACTTCAAACGGTGCATATTAATCTTATGTTTAGACCATATTAAATTTTAAATAATAAAAAGCCACGGTATATCTGCGGTCGATCAGTACCTCTTCGATGGACTTGATGATCTTCCGCGCCGTCTACCTGCCGTCCTATTTCTTGGTGCACCACGATCTCGTGAATCCCTGTCTATTCCCGTAGATGCACTAATAGGTGCTCTTATAAAAGCGAAATCGCATTGCAAAGTTTTACCAAGGAGTTTAGTACCATTAACAGCATCAATTGCGTTTTTAGCTTCTTTGTAAGTTTCATATTCTACGAGTGCATATCCCTGGACAAATATAGCAAACGTAATTTAGTCTTTATATAAATAAAAAAAATCACCTTAACAAATAATAGTATTCGTCCAAAGACCTTGACAAAACCTGTCCGTCGATCCAAATTCAAGTGAAGATTTTTTATTTCACCGAAATCTGCAAATTTGTCGGTAAGTTCGTCTTCTGTTGATTCTTCATGAAGTCCCACCACTAAAACGATCCATCCTTCAACAGCTATTTTAATGCAATGTAAGGAAATATTAATATATTTGAACATATATTCGAATTTCACCGCAAATATTTACAGGCATAACAGATAATCACATCTCTGGGCGCGTCCAGTGGAAACATCTTCTTCAATAGTAGATTCAAATTGATCATACTTGTCACCTGACCTGACTCCGTCCCTGGATTCTTTAGCATAATAGTCAGTAAATGAATAAATAATAGAATTAAATAATAGAACTATTGTATCATTAGTTTACCTTTCGATTCACTTCTAAATCCTCTCCCCTTACGCTTGATTGCAGCCGGCCTGGTATCTTAAAGAAATTGTTAAATATGATTGCTTAGTAAGATAAACAGGGCGATTAGGCTTACTGTGTAAATATTGAAAGAGCAAATAGAGATTTCGCTCCATGTAAATCGCGTTTTTAAAAGCTTTCGACCTGCTACCCTTACAAACGCCGAAAGCATAAAAAAAAGTCTTTTTAAATGTAAAACGAAATACCTTCGTCGACCATCATAGCGTCCTCATCGTCGACGCCGGTGTTTATGTCGATATCATAACTTTCGGACATTATTACAAACTTACAAAGAGGATTTACTACAGAACTGAGACTTGACACATTATGCATGCAAATTCACGTGTCTTACACGTAGATCTTAGTAAATTAGTATGTGCGTATCGCTTAATTTTTTTTAGTATCAAATATGGACCGTTCTCAAGCTCTTATTCAGGAATCTGAAGATAATGGTTCTAACCGCTCCAATTTAAATGTACTACCAGATAATTCTATAATTTCAAAACCATTAAAATCCGATCTAGAGTATAATGCAGAACAATTAAAATCTGAAGGCGTTTTGGAGGATACTGCTAAGTCGCATTCAGAACTTGAGCATTTGATTACTCAGCCTAATGCTGGGTCAAGCAACAGTCTGGATCGAATAGATTCTCAACATGAGGTATTCCAATTCATGAACAATGAAGTCGCAGACGTGACTTCGACAATACCTCAACAACACTTGACACCACCCATTTTTGCAGAAACGCATAATTCAGATGAATTCGAGCAGTTTGAAGACGATATGTATTTAGGTTCTTCGGAAAATCTCGGCGAAGACCAATTACACATCGTGCAGCATCCAGACGACGGAGAGGAAAGTGATTACATGGTTAGGTCAATAAATACTAATTCGGGATCGGAACATTCATTAAACATGGGCGATGATTCTAGCGTGACAATAATTACAGAAGATGATGTTCACACACCACCGTCACCTTCTCAAGGTTCTGTAGCTAGTATAGAATCGTCACCTATTGGCGATGCCTCGGGTTCTTATGTGTTTGCAGATCCTTCTCCTAGCGCTTCATTGCACGAAGGAACAGAAGCAGAAGGGTCCACCTTATATTCATCTGGTGACTCTCAATCACAAATTCTCGCACCGAGTATTAATAACGACGAGTACGAAGAGGATGATGATAGAATTCGTCTAACTCCTATTATTTCACGTGGTGATTCCGGGGATGTGCCTCCGAGCCCTACAATTTCCTCAATTTCTGGACAATCTGAAAGAGCCCCATCGTTGTTACACTCCAATATAATACCTGATATATTACTCAGACATCCTCAAATCAATCGCAATAATAATAATCTTGATTTGAGCGCTTTAACATTTATACATCAACAGATGTTGATTCCATTTTTCCACGGGTTTAGCTGGGCATTTGGAATGCATCTCTACCGGTATTTGAGATATGGATTCTCTTTCAGAGAATTGTGGTGGTCTTTATTCGCAGGAATCACTGGGAGGAACGGTAGTAACGCTTAACGAGGATGTAGATATCCAGTGTGAGTTGTATTAGTGGAATCATGGTATTTCGAATATTACATGTTTTATGAGCAATAATTATTTAAGTACTAGCCATTTATAATACGAAATTAAGAAATAGATTGTTCTATAAACATGAAAGAAAAAGAAGTTGTTTCGATAAATTGCTATTAATCACACCTACAAATATGGTTTACAATGGCGAAATAAAATTTCCTATTGTACCTCCTGTTAATCTTTTATTAACAATATTATTTTAAAATCTTGTTTTATCTATTGTAAATTTTCTGGAATTCAATAAAAAATACAGTATATATTAATATTTCCTTAAAAAATGATTTCTAATAAAATTAACACTACGAATTTGTATTTACTAAAAATATTAAAATCTTCATTCTTCATATCGAATTATTCGCAAATTATTGTTATTTTATTAACAGAAATTTATATTGAATTTTAAATGTTTAATTATTTGACAATTGAACATTCGTATTTATTTATTAAAAATTTATTGACAAGATTTATAAATAACAGTTTAATAGGTCATAAAAATTTTTTAATAATTAAAGTAACCATTTAATTTGAGAAACTATTAATTCTCTAATTATATCACATAAAAAAGATATTTGCAAAATATTTTGAATTCAATTTTTTTTTTGAAACAGAAGCTTAGTCATGTTTATTAACTTTGATAAAGTAATATACAAATTAATGCAGAAATTACAAAGATTGTCATGTGGAGCCATATATCATTTACATTACTAAACTCCCTAAATCCCAACCTTTAATGGACTTACCAAGTGACTTGTTGCCTAGAGATATCTGATTGAATTAAATTTCTATTACTATTATTATCTAGAAAAAACTAGGTACCCCTTAATGGATTTTCAATCCTTCTAGATCCCTCCCAACTAACTTGCCATGATTGACTTGCTAGTTTTTTGAAAGAAACAATACACCTTTATTATGATCCTAATGATTATGGTCTATTACTAATACTGAGTATGTTCAAAAAAAAAGTGTGTGTTCAGTAGTATTATATATTATAAAAGGGTAAAAAAAACTATTTGGATTAGAATGGAAAAATCCTAAAGTGATTCTGAAATGAAAAAATGGTTGTGCCTTTTATAAATAGAATGAGTTCTTGAAGTTTCATTTCAATAGAAGAGATATCCATTTTATAGCTATGATACTTTCAAAGAATAATAGGTGAGAAAAGACTACAGTTCATGTAATATTTATCTATTTATATGGTAGCATATAAATTATGATAGACCTAAGGTTTTTATAAAGCTTAAGAAATATATTCACATTATATATCAGGTATATCCTTGTTTATATTTCTACTAATCATGAAACAACCAATCTCAATCTTCAGTCAATCAATTTATTCAAAATCTGATATAATATAAAATTCAGGGTTAAGCTAAAATAGACAAAAATCTTTAAAAAATCAAGAAAAAACTATTACATACTAAGAGAAAAGCTGTTTTTGTTTATAGTAGTAATATCAATTTCTCAGGTTGGTATAAAGTTATTGATCTATATTTCTTCCTAGACTTTGGAACCTTCATAGAAAAGAAAAAGTTTTTAAAGAGAAAAAGTAAACAAGAAGAGTAAAATATGACTGCTACCAAATAAAGCAAATGTTTTTAAGGAAAGTTTTGAAGTTTTATTACTCTCAAAACATAGAGTTTTAGAGGAATACTTCTTTAAAAGTGATGGTTAGAAATTTATGGAAAAGAGTTTTTAATCTTTTTTTTTTATATTTTGAATTTAATATTAATAAATTCTTTATATTTTTTTTTTAAAAATTATTTATTACTTTTTTCTTCTTATTTATAATTTTCAAAACTTGGTTATTATTATTTTTTTTTAAAAAAATTTTCCATCAGATTAATTATATGTGCTTTATTAAATATATTATAGACTATGCTAATTACAATGTTACTAAAGCTAGATTGCTAGTTAATTTACTTATTTTGATTTGTTTTCAAATTCTATATACAATTTTGGAAGTGATTTATCACTTTGTTTATGGTTTGGATTAAACCCTTTTATTATTAACATCATTGCTTATAGTTTACTATTGTAGATTACTGACCATAGTTTGATTGAGTTTAAAATCCAATCATTTTATTTTATTTTTTATTTTTGCTATTATAATCTTAATAAAACTTTTACCTGGATATTTCTCTTCTATAGATTCTTATTTCTTCTTTATACTTCTTATAAAAAAAACTTTATAAGACTTTTTATTTTATTTTTTTAAAAGATTTCTTAAATATTTTCTCATATTATTATACTTTTATATTTTTTATTTTTGTACTTCTTTCTAAAGTGGTTTATGATCTTTTTTTAATTACAGAATATTTATTTTCTAATCATAGTTCTAATTCTTCTTTTTTTACAATTTAGTTTTTTTGTTTTTATAAGTAAATCTCTTTCAACTAATTCTATAATGAAATTGATTACATCTTGACTTTCTTTAAATACTCTTCTTATGAGATTTATTGTTTAATTTTTATTTCCCTTAGTTTTTTTCTATTATTTGTCACTATATTATTGTAATCTTTTTCGGTTTTCTCTTTTTGTTTCTTTTTTGTTTTTTAGAATTCTTGCTAAATTATCTTTATTTTCATTATCCAAATTTCCCTAACTTTATTTTTGTAGGATTAGTATTTTTTTAGATATTCTATTGTTTTTTCTTAATTCTTATATACAATCTAATTACTGTTCTTGTATATATATATATATATTTTAACCCGTAGTCAGGCCAATATGGCTTGTCCATTTTATTGTAAACATATTTGATATTTACATATTTTATGACTTTCACATATT